GCTGACTGGCTCTGTGGCTATTGACGACGCGAAATTTGCTATCATTTCCCTTGTAGGAGGTAGACGGCGAGCTGTAAGCTCCTCTATATACTTGACAAGCTCGTCCTCCTGCTGTGGAGTGAGCTTTTGTTGTGCAATCGCCTTCTCTTCACGCGATCGCGTCTCGTGTCAATATTTTCGAGACAGGGTTGAGCGCACAACCTTATGTTGTTTAGCCAGCGCTGTCCACGGGATCTTATCGCATGGTATCATAGAGTCTATCTCTTCAAAGGCAGATTTCATAGTCATTGTGGCGTTGAGTAATTGTACAGTGAAGTATGGGTACAAAAAGGTGGTTTGGCGCATTACGCGAATCCGCGCATTACGCGCACGGACACGGTAGAGCACCCCTGTCCTTTTGTCGCAGCATCCTTGCCCTTCATCTTCCAACCTTGTAGTGCCTGTTCGACGCCACCACAAGACCAAAAGTTTTCTCCACCACGAGTATTTGTCGGGAAGCATACAGCCCACTGCTATCAAATTAGTACATGGCAAATAAACTAAACAGCTAATTTCACTGTACTCTACAAAGTCGGAGCCAGAAGGACAGCCGCACACGCCGCCTGGCAAGTGCCAAAAGCTGCATTGCAGGCAACGACAGTAGCGGGAGCAGTGGCACCCAGAGTGGCACCCCAGGTAAAGCCGGCTGCTGAGTAGCATGCCATTACGACTGCAGAGCAGCCACCTTGGCAGATGCCGTACGCGACCGGTCCAGCTGATGCTAGGCAGGCAAGAATGAGGAAGGCCGCTGCCATGGTGGTGAAGGATAGAAGCTTCATTGTAGAAGGAGTCTGAATGGGTTAGTTATCGAAATAAGTAAATCGCGCCTTGTGTGAAGCGCACTTACCGGGTTGCCCTTTGCCCTAGAAGAGATTGCTGTGAAGAAGTGAAGCTAAGGATTCTTAAGCCTGCGCTCTTAAGCGACCACTCAGTTCTGGAAGGTTAGCTAGCGCTCACAATAATATTAAGATATGGACTCGTAGAGGCGATTAAGGCAGGCATACCGAAAAGGAGATTCAGGAGGGCTTGAATTTGGTAAACTCTGTAGGTGTGGGAAATTCAAGAGTTAGCGAGTGTTGAGAGGTGGAAGACAAGAGGAGCTGTTGCGGTTTATATAGTAAGGACATCACATGTTCCATGTGCTGGCCTAGCGCTCCTCACCTCACTACTCACTTCACTCCCGCCTTCACTTTATAAGCACTTTCTCCACTAATGTTATCATGAATATGTTGTGTAAACAAACGCTGATTGTGGCCACATATATAAGATGGCCATGCCCGCACAACAACAGAACAGATTAATACACTCTTTCATACTTTGATTTGCTGCTCTGCATGACTTTTCGCTTAATTGGATACACCGCCGTATGAGCAAAGAACCACGTCATTAGGCTCAATCGTGCCCTAACATCGCCCTAGCTGCGGACTTCACCGGCTCTATGAGTAAACTGACAATATGTGTAACTGCGTGAGCAGTGTCGGTTGGAGGCTGTGGTCAATGATTGTATTCTATCTGTGTTGTCGTTTTGTGATATTCTTGTACAGAAGCTCTCAGCTTGGAGGTAAGTGCGCTTGCACTCGGGCAGTGCCTTCTACAATAGGATATCATGTGACCCAACCCACGCAGTTACACACCCCCTCAGCTGCGGTGTCAACCAAAGCTGATCTTCCTAGCTGATCAATGCTCCATATCATACCCAGGATATCCGAGACAGTACTCCCTTTGATGTCATCCTAGTACCAGTGAGTCAAGCTCGCTGGATCAGGACTGTTGATGAGGGAGTATTTTGTGATAAGGGCGTTGTTGTATTGAAGCTATCAGAGCGGGGCGATATCTACAGTGCGCTAGTGCGGGAGCTAATCAAACGAGCTGACTAATGAGAGCACTGCCTGTGCGGACACACCCCCACAGCGAGTGAATTGAAGCTCCGGGATGCTATTATGCCTGTGCGCCTGTTGTCGCCCATACCCCTCCATTGTATTTAGTTCTTGTTGTTGTTGTTGTTGCCAGTCAGCCCGTTGGTGACAATCGTTGGTTTGCCGAGGCCGAGGTGGTGTAGGAAGCGCTCGTGAGCTACGCGATCGAGAGGCTTGGTGAGACCGTCGGCGGCCATTGCTGTTGTGCGGACGTGTTCAACCTTGAGGTGACCATCGCGGACTCGCTCCTTGATGTAATGGTAATAGATGTCAACATGCTTAGTGCGCTCGTGGTGGCCGTTGCTGTGGAGGAGCTTGATGGAAGGCTCATTGTCGCCGTACAGCAAGATTGGGTGAGTGTCATCAGACTTATAGTCCAACTGGTGGAGTAGCCGATGGAGCCATGTAGCTTCTTTGGCTGCAAAGGTCATAGCCACGTACTCTGCCTCAGTCGTAGAGGTCGTGACGAGCTTCTGCTTGGTGGACCTGTGACACACTGTACCACCTGCGAGCTTGAACAGGTAGCCAGACGTGGACTTCCGGTCTTCTCTGTCGGCAAAGGAGGCATCGCTGTAGCCGTGGAGACCAAGGTCAATGGGAGCAGACTTGACGTACATGTCGATGGATAGCTTCTTGCCTCCAGGCGGAGCCTTGTACGTCATGACGAGGTCCTTGTAAGTCTTGAGATAGTCGATGACCTGGAGAGCGTAGTCATAGTGGAGCAGCGTGGGGTTACTCATCGCGCGCGCGAGAAAGCCGATGTGGAAGGAGATGTCCGCCCGTAGCTGTGTTGCTGGATAGAGCAACTTACCAATGATAGTCTGGTAGTTGCGGAGCTGTTGCAGAGGCGCACGATCATCTGCGGGACGCGTCTTGAGTTTGAGTACTGCGACGTCAAGGGGAGTATGGCGTGCTGCAGAGTTTTCGCGCTTGTAGTCGCTGACGAGCTTGTCGATGTACGACTCCATGGAGAGCTCAATGGAGCGCTGCTTTCTATCGCGACGAATGCGGATGCCCAGGTAATGGGAGATGGGGCCAAGGTCTCAACACTTGTACTTGTCGAAGACTTGCTTCTTGACCTCCTCCATGCGATGGCGAGTCTTGGTGATGAAGACAATGTCGTCGACGTACGCAAGGATGATGCTGCCGTCGTTGTGCTTGAAGACACATGGGTCAGCTTCTAGTGGCGTGAAGCCAATCGTGTTGAGAAAGCAAGAGAGCTCCTCATACCAGAGTCGTGGTGAGCGGCGGAGACCGTACAAGGCCTTCTGGAGTTGTGCTTTGCGACCGTCTGGCAGTCTAATGTACACAACTTCGTCCTTGTCGAGTTTGCCGTTGAGGAAAGCCGTGATAACGTCAGCTTGGTCGCACTCCAGGTCCAGGGCAGCAACCATGGCTAGGAGCACTTTCAGTGTAGTGGCTCGCGCGACAGCGGCATAGGTCTCTCGCCAGAGGTTGACGTCCTGACGATTGCCGCAGACCACAAGGCGTGCCTTTAGTCGCTCAAGCTTGCCGCTGTCGGACAGCTTGTACTTGTACACCCACTTGGTTGGCAATGCCCAGTGACCGCTCGGCAGAGTTACGACAATGACCCAAGTACCATTGTCGTCATGAGACTGGTACTCCGCGCTTTCAGCTTCAATCCATCCGTCCTTGTAGAGGTGTTGACGAGCCTGCTTCAGTGAGGTTGGCTCTGGCGGCAGCTCGACTCTTGTAGTGGTCGGCGCGTTGACTATGGCGGAGGCGAAACAACGAGCAAGTTGTGGCGTGATGTGTGGGTTGTGAAGGGCAATGGCCACGTAGAGGTGGTGTGCGGGCTTACGGGTTCGCCTTGTGTGGAGGATGTTGCAATTATTGATGTCGCCATCAATCTCTGCGCGGCGAGCTGCCTGGTTACCACCACGTGTGGCATTGGCGATGGCTTCAACTGGGACGTACTCATAGCTAGGGTGTGGAGGAGAAGCGCGGGCGTTGGCAACCGCTTCAAGGCTATTGTCGTCTGGTTCGTGGACTGTGAGGTTGTCAATATTTGCGTCAAAATCGAAGCTAGAGGCCTCGGTGAGACCACCAAAGTTGAAGCCGCTGCCTTGTTCAATGCCATCGACACCCACATCGTCTTCTTGACGGTGGGGTCGCGGCTGCGGAAGCGGTTGTAGTGGACGAAACGGGATGTGGACTGAGACTTCTTGCTTCTCATTGTCGTCTGTTGAAGGTCGCTCAATAGTGGCGAGCCTGTGACATGCCCACTGTACGCTGCTGGTACGGTGCACTTTCTTGCTGACAGGGTCCCACATGAGGAAGATGCGTGAGCCTTCACGGCCCACGTAGTACATCTTGGTGGCGCGTGGATCGAATTTTGCGCTCTGTATACGGGTTTGTGCGGGCTTGTGGACGTAGCCTGTCTCACCATAGGTGCGGAATGAGTGTAGGTTGGGTACCGGATTTGGCACGCCCATGTGCTCAAAGCGTAGTTGTGCTGGAGTCTTGCCGCCCGGCAGAGCCGCGTTGGGAGTGTGGTTGACGAGTTCGACAGCGTAACGTGCCGCCATCGGCCACATGTTCTTGGGTAGGTGAGGAGCAGCGACGCCCATAGCACGAGTGCGCGACTCAATGATGCGGTTGCTGGACTCGGCTACACCATTCTGGTGAGGTGTCCTTGGTGTGGATAGCTCCAGGACTGTACCGCGACGCTCAAAGTCGGCGTAGGCACGCTGATTGACTAGCACTGTGTCGTTGTCAACGTGTAGGATGGCTACAGTAACGTCGTACTGGGTTTTGGCTCGGTCAAGGAAGGAGAAGAGCCTGCCCGTGATGCTCTGCTTGTCGTCAGTAATGTCAATCCACCTGTAACGAGTACAGTCGTCGGTGTAAATGATCCAATACTTCTCACCCCCAGGTCCTGTTGGTGTCATCGGACCAACAATGTCGATGTGTACGCGGTGCAGGAACTTGGTGGAGTGGTTGGGCTTGACGCGAGAGATTTGCTGTTGTGAGTTACCGAGTAAGCAGGCTTCGCATGAGAAGGGCTTGACATCCGTAAGGCGCAGGCCAGTGGTGCTGTCAACCAAATGGCGAAGCGTACGGACGCCAGCGTGACCAAACAGGTCATGGAGGTCACGAAGTGAGATATCTCGAGTTGGTGTTAGCATGCTGTTACGCGTCTTAGTGTTGACTGCTGCAAAAGCAAGTGACTGAGCGGTCTGGAGCTCGTCGCCAGCAAGGAGAAAGGTAGGGATCTTGTCGACTTCTGGTGTGTAAGCGACTTCGGTGTCATAATTGTCACGGCGGAGGTATAGCTTGTGATCGTAACCGTGATAGTAAAGGTTCTTCTCACGCAGCACTGAGTGTGACAGTACAGAAACGAACATCTGTGGCGCGTACAGCACGTTGGAGAAAGAGACTTGTTCGCTTGTACCGTCGGAGCGGAGGACTGTTACCTTGATAGTGCCCTTCTGCGTGATTGTAATTGGACCAGCGCCGGTGTTGATAACAGCGTAATAGCTGCCTCGATCGAAGCTGGTGAACTTACTGTGGTCGTTGCAAAGGTGATCGGTGGCTCCAGTGTCGAGAATGAGACGGTTCTGGTACTCACCGCGTCCAGCAAGCTCGCGAACCGTGTTGCTGATGTCGACTACGGGGGTTGTACGAGCTGTAAAGAACATGAGACCGTTGTGAGGCTGAAAATATGAGTTGTCCTTCACAGCGGCAGCGTTGGCGCCGCCTTTCTTGGTCTTGATGTAGTCGGCGTTCTTGTCACGCCATTCCTGTGTGGCCTTCTCAGGGAAGGTGTACCAGCAGTTATCGCCGCCGCCATAGTGCGTACGGTCACAGTGCTTGCAGTGAGCTCGCGCGATGGTTGACTTACTATCGCCTGTCTGTTGGCGATCACCAATACTGGCGCCGCCTCGACCTCC